CCCCAAAACCCCAAAACCCCAAAACCCCTGCTTTCGCCCAAAGATTGCGACCAAAATTATAAAATAAAATGGAGAGTTCAAGCCAGATTCCCGAAGACCATAAAGACCAAGTGCAAGAGTAAGTGCGAAAGTTGCTTGGGGTTCGGGAGACCCAGGATGGGCCGAATGTGATTATATAGCCTAGAAAGTAGGAGCTTGAAGATAGAGAGGGAGAACAACAGTGTACTTGCAGCTGCTCATTATTTCAAATCCTTTTCAAAGGAACTAGAAGTCGAAGAATATGAATCAAGCTACAGAATAGATAGCGAAGATATTGATCTAGACTTATTCGAGCATGATCAAAATGTGTTTAGTTATATTAAAAGATTGTGCTTTATTGAGGATTTTATCAAAAAACAATTATATTTAGTAAATACTATATGCAGTAATAAGTATTTCAGCAAATTTATAAAATTCTCATTTCCTCAAGAAGTGGATGTTCTTGCAGTTTATTCAGAACGTAAATGCATCATAAATGTGTCTGTTTATTTGAATGCAATCACAAGGATTAGTCCCAGAGTCAATAAAGAAATTAAATTGTTAGGATTTAAAATAAACTACAATCAAATCAAGAGACTTATGAATGCCTTTAAGCATGTTCACAAAATAGGATTCCATTGGTGTCAAATTTCAATTCCTATTGTGGCGAACTTTCTTGAAGCTTTGAGAGGAACAAAGGTTGATACTCTTATTTTATCAGGATCAAAGATTAACGAAAATATAAACAAGGAGGGTAGTCCACAAACATTCACAAATCTAATTGAAGGTCTGGCAACTTCTCCTGATTTCAAACAGAGTCTACAGCAAGTTGAGGCTTACCGCTGTGAAGTTGAACAAATTAAGGTATCACAACTTCTTCATGAAAATGGATTCAGCCAGTCAATAAGATTATATATGTAGGCAAACCTATGGTTCAACATATTCTATCTCTCCAGGGGTTTTGGGGTTTTGGGGTTTTGGGG